CTCCTCCCACATTCCTTCTCTCTCTCATGCTGAGATCACCAAAATTCACCCAAAAATCTATATGGTTTAATGTGAATAATTATCATACACCACTATACATGTCTGGTATCAGTTGAAATTTCTCAGTGTGACTGGTACAATGGTCTTGTCTCCACAGAAGTAAACCAAAAGATAATAAAGTTTTTAAGAGTTTAGAGATATCTTGCTTACAGAGGAGGGTGGGTCTTTCATATGGCATCCTGCCCTCAAAAGGTGTACATACTAGATCTCAGGTTAGATGGAGTATGGGGCACATCTGTGAGATTTTAGATTCCTGACTAACTGCTTGAATTTAACTAAGTTGTTAGGCTAGATAAAAATGCTATTGATGTATAGCAAGCGTTGGAGCAGCATTATTTTAAAGTACTAGCCCATAAACTCTGGTTATTGTTTGGGCTCTAATTAAGTTGTTATATAGGCGACTGTATGGGGGCTACATGGGTACCTTTTAACAATAGCTAGCGTGGGCGGCATTGTTAAATTGCTTTAGCCATAACCTCTGGTTATTGATCAGACTGGTGAGTTTGTGATCGTGGGCCCGCATAAAATTAACAGCCGGTGTGAGGACCCTGTGCGACTTTGGTACCCGGGTAAACAAGGATAAGACTTAAATAGAATAATCAATGTGCTGCTAACCTATATGACCAATAACCAATTGGCATTCCAACCTAAAAGACAGTACACGCAGTTAACCTTCACCCACTTATCGGAAACTGTCGTTGGACCGATTGGGCAGGTATATCAAAATGAATGATAGAAAATGAAAGTACAACATTTACTTCTGTTTTGATGTAGATCTGTGCAACATTGACTTCCCCTGCTGTTTTGATGTAGTTTGGCACAGACGCCATAAGAAAAAGGATCATGGGACAGTCACACAAACCGGTGTGCACATCCATCCAGATGTGGAGTTGGAGTATATTCGAGGTTTAGTTGGTCTTGGGAACGCCTGCTTTGCCATCAGGTACACATAAACATCACTTACAAACTAAAGCTTCATTTTAATATGATTTTGTTGCATCTACAAACCACAAAAGTGTGTTAATATTTAAACAACTTTCCCCAGTGCCATACCTGCCCAGGGAGAGATTGAGGCACTTCCTGTGTTTCCTAGAGAATGTCTGAAGCTCCAGAGGTTGTTGGGTAGTGGTGCTTTTGGAGAAGTTTATGAAGGTGTTACAGTTGGCAACCAAATCACTGGAGTTGTGCCAGAGAGGAGAGTGGCTGTCAAGGTACATTTGGTACATATATATATGCATAAATACAGGTAGGCTGTTTCAGCAAATAGCCTACCGATTGCAATCATGATGTCTGACAAATCAATCTCTTCACAGACACTGAGGAAAGATGCCAGCGACTATGAGAAAACAGAATTCTTAAAAGAAGCTCATTTGATGAGGTAAAAGAAAAGTTTGCTCAAAGCATCACACTAAAAATATGATTATAACAATGGTGAAAAACACATGATGATGACGTGGCACCCTGGCCTAGAGCAAATGGCAATGGTTGTGCTGGGGTCTGTTGTTTTGGGAGAAAATAAAATCTAAACGGATGTTTTACCCAAGGGGCTCTGTTTTACTCTATTTATGGATTTACACTACTGTTCAAAATTTTGGGTTTTGTAAGAAGTCTCTTTTATGCTCACCAAGGCTGCATTTATTTTAGCAAAAATATAGTAAAATCAGTAATATTGTGAAATGTTATTACAATTTAAAATAACTTAAATTTGAAATACAATAATAATTTTCTGTTTTAAAATGTCATTTTTTCTTTGATATCAAAGCTGAATTTTCAGCATCATTACTCCAGTCTTCAGTGTCACATGATCCTTCAGAAATCATTCTAATATGCTGATTTGCCGCTCAAGAAAAAATACATCATATTATTATCAATGTTGAAAAGAGTTGTTCTACTCAATATTGACCCAAAACCTTTTGAACGGTGTTTTGTTTGTCCAATTATTTGGAGCACATTTATCATGCTTGGTTTTGTGTTTGTGGCTCTCCAGCCAGTTCAATCATCCTAACATCCTGCGCTTGCTCGGAGTGTGTCTGCTAAACGAGCCACATTACCTCATCCTGGAGCTGATGGAAGGAGGAGACCTTCAATCTTACCTGAGAGGAGCTCGTCCTACCAATGTTAGGCTTTGTTTTCAAAAATACTGAATGAGATGCTTATTTACTGACAGCACTAACATGTTCTTATGTCTCATAGACCCACAAAGAGCTACTAAACCTCACCAGCCTTCTGGACATCAGTTTGGATGCTGCCACTGGATGTGCTTATTTAGAAAGGATGCACTTCGTTCATAGGTAAAGATGTGCTCATATGCATTCCTGTAGCGCACGGTGCTCACAATGCCAAGGTCATGGGTTCAATTCCCAGGGAATGCATGAACGCACACAATGTACACTTTGAATGCAATGCGAGTCACAGTTTGGATGAAAGTGTCTGCCAAATGCATAAAAGTAAATGTATTTAAATGAAACTATTCAATGGTTCGTGTACAGGGATATTGCTGCAAGGAACTGTTTAGTGTCAGTAAGAAGCTACATGGACCCTGGAAGGGTCGTAAAAATTGGAGACTTCGGATTGGCCCGTGATGTGTATAAGAACGACTACTACAGGAAGAAGGGTGAAGGTCTGCTTCCTGTTCGCTGGATGTCACCAGAGAGTTTAACCGATGGCATTTTCAATAAATATTCTGATGTCTGGTCAGTATCTTGAGTATTAATGTTTGCCTTATCTAGTAACATGCATATTCCAATAAATATGTTTTTATAATTTGCTTTTTCCAGGGCATTTAGTGTGCTCTTATGGGAGATTATGACTTTAGGAATGCTACCATATCCCACATACACCAACCATGAAGTCTTAAGCCTTATCTGTACAGGTGGACGACTGGCTTTACCAGCAGGATGTCCACAGAGATTGTAAGTGTTATTATTAGTAGATGATTTCTACAAATACATGTTATAAATCGGTTGAATGCGAAGACAAAGATATGACGTGCTTTGAATGAATATGGTAAAAAGCAAAGATCACATTTCCATTTTATTACTGCTTTTTGTAGGTATAATCTGATGATGAGCTGTTGGAGTAAAGAACCAACTGAGAGGCCAAACTTCCAGTACCTTGAGGAAACCCTGAGTAAATTGAGAGATTATGAAGAGGATAAAAGAGCAAACCAGAATGGAGCTGAAGGTCATGTGAACCAAGCCTACCAGGAAGACGGTGTGATTTTATATCAATATAGATATCAATATAATCAAAAAATATTAGCTTTATTTCATCATATAAAAAGGAATAAATGTTATGAATCTAATTCATTTACTTAATTACATCTGAATCAGATGTGCACAGATTTGTGACTCATTACATGTACCTCTCGCTGATTTTCTCCAGAGGAGGAGGTCTGCACTGGTGTCGATGAAGATGAAGTTCTGGAAACTGGACTGTCTCCTGTGCTCAGCAACGAGGGACTGAATTACTTGATGTATCGAGCTGAGAGCCCAGACAGTGTGCGAACAGACACATCGACACCCACTGAAGATAGATAAGACTATAATTGCCAATGTGCTTTTGAAGTCACACCTCAAGTTTGCACAAAGACCTGTGAGCTGGACCTCACTTTTGTAATCTTCTTTTTTGTAAATATTGTATTGTAATAATAATAAATATTGTATTGTTTAATGTGTAATGTTGAATGATTAATAAACAGATATCAATGTTCTGCAAAACAGTTAGATCTGTATTCGCTTAAAGAAATACCTACTTGAAATTTTGCAACTGATTAAATTGTTATCTGGTTAAATAAATTATGCAAACAGCAAAATAATAGCAATGATTATTTTATGCATAATGTGTAAAGTGAATGAACAATAAAAAGGCATTATATCAACACTATAAAAAACAACTAGATTTATATTTCCTAAAAACAGTAGGCCTGTCACCTTGGCCTACTTGCAATTCTGGCAAAAACACTGTTTTTTCATCCATCTGTCAGTTTTGAGATTTTGGTGTTTTTTCAGACTAGTGGATAGAAAACATCCAAAATACACTTTGAAGACCCTCTCACGTTTGACTAATATGTCCTCAAAAAAAGAAGAAAAGAAAAGAAAGAAAAAGAATGTTGAACCTGGCTTTATTCAATGTTCAGATTTTTGTTCTAGAAATGTATGCAAATTAGTGCATATTTAATTGGATTTTGCATTTGCATATTTAAACATTTCCGAAAACTTGTGGCGAATGGTTTCATGTTTGCAAACATTACAGGGTGCGTGCGTATTCCAGAGGCAGAAAGCCAGATTGGTGAGCTGGTCCGCTACTGCAACAACCTATTGAAGCTTTCCTTATTGTTTGTATTGTTTGTATATAACTGCTGACTCAATAAAACGTGGTTTTAGTTGGATCTGTTTGTCTGTCTTTAATTTTGCAGTGTTACTGTGATATATGTATGAATTATCATGTTAGGCTAGTAATGTAATAGCCAATGTTATTAATAACATTAATGTTAATACCCAGCACTAGCTATGTTGGTACAATTAACCACGCAACAACTCCTTGTTGGCATTTTGACTTACAGACAGACACCACCACTATGCGTCTTTTTTCTGCCTCCCGGTTGCGTGCGCAAGCAGTGATGACGTTGCCGAGAACTCCATACAAAAAATATTGGGGAAGTAGTGATATCTTTTTTTCTTTTTCTTTTTTTTTTACCCTAATCACCTGGAGTGTCTTGCCTTAAATTGGTTATATTGTGCAAACATAAAAAAGCCTAATAATACATTTCATAGGATAACAATTTTAATTTAAATAAATTATTTTTTATGTGATTTTTGCCGTTTCTTTTTCTATCCCATGGCCGTTGAATATTTCTGTCAAAAAAAAAAATATATATATACACATTATATTTTTTATGTCAATAGATTAACATTTAATTCACGACGCCGCCCCTTTCCGACGTATGGTGCTTGCGTGTCATGTGACCGCAGTCGGTGGAAGCAGCATGGCGTGCGTGAGCGCGGAGCTCCTCCAAAAACTCTACTTTATTTGCACTTAGTTCATCTTTATATTCAATCCATCAAAGGCGACGTGCACGTATTGAAAGCTGGAATAACACTCGCAGCATGGATGAAGGGAATAAACTCCAGTTCCCGTCCCTGCCCGCCGCCAAAGAAGAGCAGCTGGTATGTTATGAACATTAGCGCAGTGCTAACAACTGCTGGATCACAGTCACTCTTTAATATGTCTGTTTTAAAGCATTACCTGTCTGACTAGTATGTGTCAATGCATGAATAAATACAGAGGTCTTTGCTGACATTTTAATGGATAATATAGCTCTTTAACTAACTCTTTGCGGTGAGCGGTTAGCATGTACATCTAGTGGCAGTGTACAAGAATAACAACAACTCAGAAATCAAAGTCATCTATACTGCAACATATCTCATTACAAATGACGACCTGGGTAGTATTTATTATGATACGCTGAATAATGTGTGAATAATCCGATAATTTAAATGTATTACCCTTTATTTATACATTTAGACACTACCAATCAAATTATTTGTCACTTACCTCCATTACGAGATTAATATTGAGTATAGTCAACAACAACAAACATTAACCAATTTAATTGGCAATGTACTTTTTAAAAACTTTTATCTTAATGAAACGTACATTTTTTTTATGTCTTCTGTGGAAGCATATTCTATACAAACACAAAGACTTGGCCAATGCATTGCAAGTTTGATCCCAATTGTATGCATACTTCAAGTGCCTTCCCTTCTTCCATGCTTTATTTATGTCTAACTTGAGCAATAAACCTGACAGAAACTGATTAAGTGAGAAAGTGTAAACATTGTTTAAAAATGTCTGTCAACCCGATTATTGGTAGTTAGAAAAGTTTTATTCCTGTATTGGGCTGCAGTTTTTGGTGTGGTGTTTATAGTGATACCTTTTTTTTTTTTTTTATTACTGTAAGAATGCTTGTAAAAACTGATAATCTGATTTTGCAATCCCATTTCTGCAGGATTGGGCGTATCCAATGAGAAGAGAGATGCAGGTGATCATGAAAATAGACTTTGCACATGATTGTATATCATTATGTATTGTTATGGCTTTTGTACAGTACAGATCCAGGATATTATTTTGTTAGTACAAACATCCAGTACTTTTGCATTTTATATTTGGCGACACAGCCTAAAGTATGTTTCATATCTCATTCTCATCAAATGATCACTTTTGCTACTTTTACTAAAACTAAATCTGATGTAATGATTTAGGAAATCCTCCCAGGCTTGTTTCTTGGGCCCTATTCAGCTGCTATGAAGAGTAAGGTACTATAGAGATGATCAATTCTCATGCATCATGATGAAAATAATCTGTGCCTGGTTTCTTGTAATAATTCATCCTCTCTTTCAGCTCTCAATGCTGGAGAAGCAGGGCATTACTCACGTCGTGTGTGTCAGACAAGACATTGAGGCCAACTTTATAAAGCCAAACTTTCCCCATAAATTTAGGTATTTCGGTTTCTGGTAGTCCTTTGTTCTATGCACATATGCGAGTTGTACTCCATATAAAGGTCCACTATTTCTAACAGCTGGTTTACTTTAATTCTTTGTTTATAGGTACCTTGTTTTAGATATAGCAGATAACCCTGTGGAAAATATAATTCGATATTTCCCAATGGTAAGCTGATCTTTCTTTATATATTTTGTTATAAATGCTTTTTATTTGGTGTGTGATACTTTTGTCTAATTATGATTACCTGATTTTCTCTCTGTAGACTAAAGAATTTATTGATGGATGTTTAGAGACGGGGGGTAATGAATGTTTTTCCATATTAATCTTGTGTAGTAATGGCAGCATTTATATGAGTACAAACTTTATACTAAATATACATTCTATACTAGATTTTCTCATCCATCTTGCACATTTTTTGTGTTGCAGGAAAGGTACTTGTTCATGGAAATGCAGGGATATCAAGAAGGTGCATGATCTTTTTTTTTTATTTATGGTTATAAAAATGATTTCTTTTGACTCTCTTTTTGGATTTTTAAAAGAATCACTTTTGGGGATGTGGTTTGATTTTACTTAATACATCTAATATTTTATCTACATTATTATAAAATATGTTGTTTTTTTTTCAGCGCTGCCTTAGTTATTGCCTACCTTATGGAGACATTTGGTGTAAAATACAGGTAATAGAATTTTTTTGAGAAACGCATTTCCACAAATATTAATACATGATAATACAAGTTTGACTTGAAGCCAATTGTGGAAGCACCGATTTGAAAATTTTGACCAATACCGATCATTTTGGCCAATACGATACTTCTTTATTTTTGAAAGCCGATAACTGATATATAAATCTAAATCCAAATTTTATATATTTTTTTCTGATTACAAAAACAAAAGTCTCACCATTAAGTCCATATCCCAAGCACACAATTATAATGATGCTCTCATTATCATTTTATGTAGCCTATATGACAGACTTGCCCTGCACATGTTGCAATTAATTGTATTTTCCTTTTTGAAGTGATTTCAATCATATTTCAAGCAATTCAAAACCATCATGGTGAACAGTGCACATCTGAAGTGTCTCAGCTGAAGGAAATAATCCATTATTTATCGGCTTTAATATATCGTCCAAATTTTCTTATCGGGCCGATAACATTAAAAATGAGAATTTATCGTCCGATACTGATATGGTGGCCAATATATCGTGCATCCCAAATTGTCATATATTATATCTTTACAGGGATGCCTTTAGTCATGTACAGGAGAGACGGTTTTGTATTAATCCCAATGTTGGCTTTGTTCATCAGCTACAGGTATGATTTTAAAGTAATCTCAGCATTAATAATTCATTCAACATTAAGTGCTATAGCTGCTTTATATGCATACATGCATAATAAATGGATGTTCTTTCTGTTTTCATCAAGGAATATGAAGCAATATATCTTGCGAAGCTAACCATCAAGATGATGTCACCCATTCAGTTGGGCAGGTCTTTCTCCATCCAAGCTGGGATGCCAGGTAAGAGAACAAGGAGCAAGATGGAACGGTGTAGGACATGCTGAATGAAAATGTAAATTCTCTCTCTGACAGTAGTTGGCGCTTATGGATCAGCAATAATATAGCGGTTTCCAGAATACTTAAAGGGATAGTTCACCCAAAAATGAAAATTAGCCCATGATTTACTCACCCTGAAGCCATCCTAGGTGTAAATGACATTCTTCTTTCAGACGAATACAATCGGAGTTGTATTAAAAAATGTCGTAGCTCTTCCAAGCGTTATAATGGGAGTCAATGGGTATGTTTTTTTGGAAGTCCATCAAAGCGCATCCATCCGTGATAAAAGTGCTCAAAACTGCTCTGGGGGTTAATAAAAGGCCTTCTGAAGTGAAGCGATGCGTTTGTGTAAGAAAAATATTAATATTTAAAACTATCGACTAAAATAACTAGCTTCCGGCAGACGGCCGTACGCAAGTTGACTTGCGCTTAAAGAGTAACCCTTGAACTTGACGCACAAAGTAATGACGAACACGATCTCTGTTTGTTTGAACCGCGAGAGGCGTCAAAGCTTACGCTACTCCTACATCATACATGCGTCACGGGATACTCTTTTGGCGTAAGTCGACTTGCGTACGGCCGTCTGCCGGAATCTAGTTTAGTCGATAAAGTTTTAAATATGGATATTTTTCTTACACGAACGCAAATTTTATTTTATTTTTAACCAGAAGAATTGCAATTTTATTTTTTCCCCAAATCATGCAGCCCTAATCTGTTTGAAACATTTGTTTACTTTATTCATTTAGTGTATTCTTCAAAAGTAGGCTACTGTTATGTTTACGGTCCTTTTTGTATATTATAAAAATAGTAACATAACCTTGTAAAGGCTGAAATAATTAAATAATAATACATTATATATTATAGTATTGTGTGTATATATTATATATATATGTGTGGATAGATCTTTTTGTTTTATTATTACTTTTAGACAAAATATATAAAAAAAAATGTTTTGCATGTTTTGTCATATATTTGATACATCAGGCTTTTATGGCCTGGATATAGTGAAAATATAGAGTGGGCAAACAGTTAAATTTTATCCACTGGCCAAAACGGAGCAAAAATAGCGATTTGGTGCACTTATTTAAATGGACAAAAATGAACATTTATGAGATCTTTATAACAGTATAGCAGACTACTTGCAAAAAATGCATATAAATATCATTTGTCACTCTACATCTAATATGCCTTAGTAAGATTATATTTAAACGCTTAGTTTTATGCATTTTGCATAATTTTGCACTTTATAATTTTTATTGTGAGGGGCAAAACATAATGCAATAGGCCTACAATGATGATTGAGAGATCAACAAATAAACGTTACTCAAAGGCCCGTTGTATCACATTTGATACATAATATTTACAAAATTGATCTAAAGGGAGAGCAGTGTCCCCAGACCCCCTCTAGAGGGCCTGACAACCATGCCCCCATAAATTTACAAAATCCTGTGGGAAACACTGCAATACAATTTTTTTTATTATTATTTGGTGTTACATTTTAAATGAAATGTTGAAATTTTATTTTTATTTTATAAGTTATTATCAGTGTTCTCCTTTTAGAAATTACAGAGCCCAATGGTTCTTGAGGTCAGAAAAGCAATAAACATGTTGAGACTGGTGTGTTTTTACTGAAAAACTACACAAGAAGTGCTGCAAATTTTGCACCGCAAAAATCAGGAAAAAGTCCCACGAAATCCTGGAGGGATTGATCCATTATCAGCTGATGTTTTTTGATGTTTTTTTATATATATATATATCAAAATGACATGATTTTCACCTGTGATTTGGAGCCAAAATTACAGGGGGGGAGAAAATGACTTTAGAAAGATGGCAGCATCATTATTTTATTTTTATGGAGAGATTGGTAGGTCTATTAGTTAAATCTGTTTACTTTAGCAATCTTTGTTGCATTATATGCCAACAGTGAAAGTTCAAAAATAGGAAAAAGCACTTCTAGTGTTTTTTTGCCCCAAGTTTGCATGCCTGTAACTCAAGTATTAAAATATATATCTTAATATCCTTTTAGATTCTGGTTCTTAATAAACATTTATTTTGGTATCTGTGGCTCCATGAGTAAATTGGTCAATTTCACACATTTTCAGTGGTCAAAAACCAAATGTGGGTCACTTTGCATACAGTTGATATTTTTTCTTTTAAAGAGGAATATCTGAACAACAAATAATGTTGAAACTAGAAATGTATCTTGCTTTTTTCTTTTTTCTACCCTGTGGTGTAAATCAAGCTTTCAATGTTGTTTATACATATGTATATGTGGTGTTTTTTTAATATGCTTTAAGACAAACCATGTGCAAATTCATGAGTCAACACCATTGAGTATTTTCTCCTTAAAACTGCATTGAATCAAAGACAGTCTCAAAAACCCGGTTTGAAATCGCTGGTGTTTCTGACGTCACAAACTACCTTGTAACCAATCACGTCAACGGGTGGATCTCTGAGCTGGTGTGAGTGGATGCAGGGCTAATTAGCATATTCATAGAACCGCATATACTAAATGAGGCAAGGGGGTAGAGTAACATTCAAACTATTTTAAATCATGACAGTTTTTTTTTCAAGGAAAAAACGTTTAAATGTGTCATTTTGGTGATCAAGGATGAGTTTTAAGGGATAAAATGATTGACTACATGGGGACTTTAACACAATTGCATAGAATATACCTAGAATATTGAGTTTTTTCTCATTGTCTCGTAAATATTGTTTTTTTAAAGTTTGCATGCATGTAAATCTTTAAAAGTATTAAAGAGATCTCAATTTCCTTCTAGATTCTAATTCTTAATAAACTTTTCTTTTGGTCTCTTCATATTTAAGGTCCTATAGGGTTCAACCACATAGATATCAGGATCCCAATGTGACTTCATGTTCAAATAGTTGAATTTTACCCATTTTCAACAGTCAAAAACCAAATGTGGCTAACTTTTTAAATAGCGGATACTTATTGTGTTTAAAGAGGAAAGTCTGAAGAACAAATGATACTGAAACAAGAAATGCATCTTATTTCACTCTAAGTAAAGAGTGCCAAAAAATATTTTCTGAAGTTTACATGTCTGTAATTTAAAAAGTGTTAAAGATATCTTAATATCATTTTAGATTCACATCCCTTTGAAACTTTTCTTGGAATCTTAATTTTTAAGGCCCTATATGGTTCAATCTCATAGATATTAGGATCGCTGCATATTTGAACTCTTGGTAGCTTCAGGAGCTGTTTAAATATACAAATAATTTCTTTCAAATATCCCTAAAACTGATTCAAATATAGATTCCTATAAATTAGGGCTGTCAAATGATTAATCACGATTAATCACATCCAAAATAAGTTTTTTTTTTACATAATATATGTGGGTGCACTGTGTATAATTATTTTGTATATATATAAATACACGCACATGCATGTATATTTAAGAAAAAAATATTGTTTATATATAAAATATTTATATATAAATCTATATACAGTATATACATGAAAATATTTCTTAAATATATACAAGCATGTGTGTGTATTTATATAAAATAATTATACACAGTGCACCCACATATATTATGTAAAAAAAAAAAACTTTTATTTTGGATGTGATTAATCATGATTAATCATTTGACAGCCCTACTATAAATACATGTTTGAGAGCAAGTTAATGTGCCTTAACCATTTTAAGTGGATTTTTGGAACTCAGAGAGGTGTGTTATATGCAATTGTTTTGATAGAGGGGAACAAGACACATTTCTAGTTTCAACACTATTTATTCTTCAGACATTCCCCTTTAAATGCAACAAGTATCAGCTGTATGCAAAGTGAACTACATTTGGTTTTTGACCATTGAAACTGTGTAAAATACAACAAATTCAACATGGAGCCACATTGAGATCCCCATATCTTTGGGATTGAACCATACGATTTTAAAAGAAAAGAATCTAAAATCATATTGAGATATCTTTAATACTTTTTATGAGTGACAGGCACGCAAACCTTAGAAGAAGAATATTTATGGAACTCAGACAGGTATGTTCTATACAATTGAGATCAAAGCAACATTATTTGTTGTTCAGATATTTCTCTTTAACAGAAAAAATATAAACTGTTTGCAAAGTGACCCACATTCAGTTTTTGACCACTGAAATGTGTACAGTTGACCAAGCTGTAAACTAATAGACCTACCAATCTCTGTGTTAAAATAAAATAATGTTGCTGCCATCTTTCTAAAAATATTAACAAAATAAAAAAATTGAGCCTGTTGATTTGATATTGAATGACCCAATTATATTCCACAGCTCTATTAATTTGTACATATTAGTAATATATGAAACTACATTATTCCTAAATGCACTTGTTGACTGCGCCTAATATCTTTTTTTTCCCCCACAGGAAGCCTAAAGCGAACACTAGAAGAGGATGAAGATTTTGGGAGTATGCAAGTTACAGCAGCACAAAATGGATAGGCTTTACTTAAAAAAGTGCTTTACCACAGTGGACTTTTCTTTTTACATTTTTATTGGGATTAAAAATGTAAATATTTGTACAGAGGTTGGGAGGGAGAGACTGCTCCTCGTGACCCTTGGAGCTGGGGATGGTTTGATATTTTTTTCTTTTTCCTTTTTGAGCTGTATGCACTGAAATTTTTTGCAGTTTTATAGTATTTAAAGCATTTTGCATTTGCAGCGGGACAGTATTGCAATAATGCACTTTTGATACTTGAATTACTGTTATGTTTATGGACAGATTTGGGTTGGGGTGAGGGGGTATCAAAGGAATGCGACTCACTGCCATAGAAATGAAATGGTAGGATGAATCAGTCGTTATGTAAGGAATAAGGAAGGACGTTTTGCCATAGAATTAACATCCCACTGCTCAATAAAAGATGGCTACTTACACCATGTGTTTTCAATGTTATCATTCCCTGGTGGAAAGATATGTGACTGCTTAAGATACAAATGTTGGGTGTGGATGATAAGTTTTGAATGATAATACAACATGAACTTCATATTTTATTGTTTCTAACCCTTCACCCACTTGTCAATCAATGGTTTTACATCAATTATAAAATGTAACGGTTATAAAAAGAAGTATAACATCACTGCCACATATTTAGTTGTTGACTGACAGATGACAAAGTATTTAGATGCCCTTTATTTGTCAGCTTTTAATGCAAGTACAAAAATAAAGGCATTTAGCGTACAAAGATGTGCTTTCATTACATCAGGATATATTTCAAAATAATTTATTTTCCTTCAACTAGGTTTGACACAACTAATGATTCAGCATCACGAATGGCTAAGACGAGCCAAAACTGAGAAAATACATGAGCATAATAAATAAATGTAAACCATTTTTTTTTATATTAATGAACTCTATGTTTTAAGATGAGTACCTGCAATAGAAATTGAAATAAGATAAAATAGATGCAATACCAGACTTGCTCTTGCATGAAAATTGATTTGAGTTTTGGTATTTTTTTTAAGCATAAAGCACAAACCACAGCGTAAAAGTTTTGTAAATTGTTTGAAACAGTTGCTGTAATTAAAAATGCTTTCCCTCCAACAAAAAAACATGTATAGAAATCTTTACATTAGAAAATATTCAAGTTCATAAGCCCTTCTCCTTTAAAACAACACAGTGTAAACCACATATTCCATATATGATCAGATCTGATTTCTATAGCTTTCTCTGCAAGTGCTTGTTGTTGAACTTTCACGAATATGCTCATTGTTCTGTCTTGTAGTGAATTCAAAATGCTTCTTTCACATAATTTTGTTATTGTTACTTGTCACCAAATGGTCAAGTTTATTGTTTTTCCTTTTTTTTTTGCTGGCTAAAAGTGAAAACTTGGAGGTAGTCTGATCCAAGATTCTCAGAGAATAGAACAGATCAAGAGTTCTAAAGCAAACATTCTGTGACGTTCAAGATTCTTTTGGATTCAGTCAAAGAACCGGCACTGCATGTAAGCCTCATCTGAAGAGGAGTAGCCAAACTTTTTATAAAATTCCACATTTTTCGGCGCACACTCCAGTGTTACTTTGTAGCACTGCAGTTTTTTGCTGAGGAGAGTCAATGTTGATACCAACCTACAAATAAAATACAATATTCAAACATTCACTTTTGATACAGATGCGTTGAAAGACAATACGGTACAATTCCTTAATCATGCAAAATGATTTTGAAAAGTGTTTTTAAAACCCAAACTCACAGTTTTCCCAGCTGTTTTCCTCTGCACACATCACTCACAACCACTTCTTCCACACGCCCCCTCTGCCAGGACAAAAAACTAAATTATATTACGTGTTTAATGAATATATGCAGTATGAAAATACAGATTTAAAATGTATTGAAGTACCTTTGCACAAGCGTGGATGAATTTGTGTTCTATGATAAGTGTTGCTGTGGCAACAATTTGTCCAAGATTCGTGTCTTCCACCACTATGACATAATAGTCTCCAGATTTCTTCATGTGTTCAAATTTTGCTGAAATGTTTTTTAAAAAGTGAGTCTTTTTAATAGTTAATTTAAAAAAACAAACAAAAAAACATATAGACCTTATGTAACCCCGCCCGCTTTTCAGGACTGCGCTCGTTGTGTTCTGTCTTCCGGTTTGTATTCCCACAGTATGAAGGTAAGATCTTATGGATTTATGAATGAACCGCTCGTTTCAAAATCTTCCCGGTCTACCGACATTTGTTATGACATCCGCTTCAAACAAGAGCTACAATGCTCATGATAACTTTAGTTAACTCTTTAATAAGTAAATTCACTTCACCAGCTAATTACTCTTTGACAGCGATGCCATAGAAATATACAGAGCTATTGCAAAAACGGAAGTTCAAACACAAAATTCTAAAGATGGCTGAGCGCTTGTTTCTCTGGCGCATAAGGTCTATATGAAGAACTGTGAGATGTTTTGAGTTAGGAACTTGCAGAACCTTTGAACTGTTCTTCTGTGACATCCCCAGCCACCGTGAGCTGTGATAAGACCTTGTAGAAGCCTAAAAAAGGCATAAAGACAAACATATGTTCATCATGATTGTTTGTACTAAAGTACTAAACATGAGTGGGCAGATTGCTGAATGGTAACCAGTACCTCTGTCTAGGTCAGCAGTACAGAGAGGACGGAGGACCAGACCTTCTCCAGGCTGAGACGGAGAAATGGGAGGCGAGAAGGAGACGGTGTTGCCGCTCCAGTCCAGCTCTTGGAGTAGAGAAGGATCAAACAGGGGCATCTCGTCCAGCAACATTCCAGACGGCCTATAATAAAATAAAACTTTAGACAAATTTATCACGGATCAGGACTCCCTGTCAATAAATGTGTTACTGGTAACATTTTATTTGGACTTTGATCATCCAAACATTTACAATTCAAAGTCAAACTTGTGTACAGCTGCAGGTGCCTGTGTATGAAATCATCAGACCTTCTGTAATGAAATACAAGACACGCTGGACTATTAGAGTTAACTAAAACCATAAATACATTTTTGTTACTTTTTAAATAACGTTCACTAAAATAGTCATTTAAATAAATCAATATCATAGTCAATAAAATGATTTTTTTCAGCTAGTTGCCAAAGGAAACAATTCTCATTTAGTTGAACTTGAACTAAAATAATTCAAATGAAACTCTAAATAAATATAACCAAAACGCTATTTTATTAAACACTTTCAAATTAAAACGGAAAATATAAAAATAAACACTCATTAAAATCATTAATCAAAACTATGATAGTATCTCAATGATAATAAGATACCTTATCTTGATCTTGCTTTTAGAAGTGTGTTGTGTAAAGTATTTGAGTAAATATAATTAGTTACTGTACTTAAAGGCTTAGTTCACCTAAAAATGAAAATTCTGTCATCATTTAGTCACCCTGAAGTTGTTCCAAATCTGTGTGACTTTCTTTCTTCTGCTGGACACAAAAGAAGATATTTTGAAGAATGTTGGTAATCAAACAATTAACGGTAGCCATTGACTTACATAGTATGGACAACAACAAAAAAATACTATGGAAGTCAATGGAGTCCATTAACTGTCTGGTTACTGGCATTCTTCAAAAGATCTTCTTTTGTGTTCAACAGAAGGTTTTTAGGTGAAATATCCCTTTAAAAAATCCAGACCAGGTGAGTAAATGATGGCATAGTGAACTATCCCTTTAACTGAAACTTGAGAGTCTGTAAGGCTGTTGTGTCAACCTTGATTTATTACAATGTTCAGTTTTATTTCGATTTTAGAAAATAAACATGTGATTGCTCTCCTCACAAATCATCAGTTTCTTGTTTTTCACTGGCATGTCTCTAGGTGTTCTGTGTTAATCATCTTTAAGCCTACATTTATTACGAGTACAATACTTAAGTTCTATTAAAATCAAATACTCTAACCCCGGGTTTACAGACAAGTCTTAAACATAATCCCAGACTAAAATGGATGTTTGAGCTGTTTTAACTGAAAGCAAATTTAACTGATATCTTAAATTATGTCAGTACCATTGTTTTGTCTCAAGATGCACACGAGTAATGTTACTTTTTTTTCTAAGGCACGTTTATAAAAGCTATTTAAATGTCCTAATTAAACTAAGGTCTAATCCTGGCTTAATCTAAGCCATGAAACCAGGCCAATAAGACTTTTTTTGGAATTGGTCACATGTAATTTACTGGTGTCATTTTGTCTGTAAGGGATCTGGACTTTTACTCAAGTAACGTTATAGTTTTCAGGTTTGCACCTGTTACGAACCAAAAATTCAAAGTATGACATCTTGTGCAACATCCTTAAGTCTGTAGTCAAGTTGTTTTCTCTTCATTTTCAAGAAAAGACAATATTTCAAGTAACGTTAATGAAAAAGAAGAAGAAAAAAAATCTCAAAGCAGTTTATGGCAGACCCTAATAAATGAAACATTTAAATGACAAAGGTCACAATTCAGTGTAGAATAGAAAGTACATAATATCACGTCCAGGAAGTGATCAGATTAATTTCATATGCCTTTCATTTTTAAAAAACCTACTGTTCTCTGGGGACGAAATCATAACGTTACTACATTCCCAATCTGTATCCCAAAATACCATCCATGTTCAATTAAATGATAAAAGAGCTCGCGATAATATTGCTTTAGATTCGTGTATCTGAGATCGATTTGTCATTTACTTACGGAGACATTCGGATATTGACAGCTTTTGCTTTTCTAAAATGTTTGAATGAATCCTGGCACCTTGATTCCAGTTACAGAAATCCTCAATGTTCCAGCATGACATATACTTCCTCCTGCGTTATTATTTTCCCTCACACGTATTCTAACGAGCCCTGCTTGTCACCCAATCACTGTTTGCTGTGGTTGGTTCGGTTGATAATCGACTTCTCAATCGTCCAATCGTAGACTTGCTGCAAGTTCCTCTGACCAATCATAGCAAATACTGATCAGATAAAGGGCGGGACCTACGCGTCTCACCCCCTCCTCCCTCTGTCTGCGTGCGTGGAATATGACGTGGCGCGGCTATGGTTGAACCCTGGCTCTGGTTGAACCCATAGGGTTGAACCTTCTTTTACTGTTTATGGGTTGGGCGCGGTGCAATGACGTTAATATCCGTCTAGGAAAATAAGAAACATGTTTAGCAGGATAAACGTAAAGTGTATAAACTGGTTCTGTGATCTTAGACGTGTTGAATATGAAAACTGACACCGTCTGGTTCGACAAGACTCAAGATTGAAATGAAAAGGTGTCTGTCAAGTGTCAATGTATGTACTACCCACCGTGTAACCCACGTGTTCGAACGAACATCTACAAATAATTACTGTGGTTTAATAAGTTTAGCCAAAATACCTTACGGTTGAAAAACATATCGACACAGCGACAAACTGATTAGTTATGTAATACATACACTTTACAGTGTGATATTGGCTATAATGACATTTTCAATTTATGTTACTTACATAAATATTATTCCAGTCAGACTACAGCTAATTTTGAACGACTTTCAGATGGAAAGAATGCAGAATGGTCTAGTAGTTACTATCAATTAGTTTTAATATTTTTAGCTTTGTTGTAATATCTATCTACCATTTAAGCCGTGCTAACCAGCACAACCTGTCCTTGACCCCTGCCCTAGGTCTTGTCTTGACTTCTAAGGACAGGCTGTGTAAACTGCATACTCAGCAGCAGTTACTGGAATTCATCTCTCTTCCTTCACTTATTGATTTTCTAGGTGCAACTTATTTTCTGGAAAATACAGTAAATTATAAATTTGTGCATAGGGACAGGGTCGTATACCCACAATTGAGGTCCCTGAGGTCCGGGCCTCTGTAATTTTTCTATGTGTATAATGAAAGTTGTGAAATAATTGCCTAATATTAACTCTAATTTGGTGCTGCAAGGATATTAAACATCGCGATGATAACTGACCTTCTCATCTGAGCGGTTTCAGCAGACTAACAGCGCTCGTCAATGTCAAAATGTTTGAGTCGGAGATTAAATCAAAGTAGGCGGGTTTATGTTCACAGAAGCTGCAAGCCGAGCGCGAATTTCCGCATGACGCTTCAGTTATTCGGTCATAAAGTGCGAGATAAGATGTAAATCGCTAAACTAAACAGCTGTTTTAGATAGAAGTTTTAAACGAACGACAGAAACAATCAGTTTGCAAAGACAAAGTATCAACCGGGAAAGGAAATATAGGGGATAGCGGGGCACAACGTAAATCCCAGTTGTGCAAGTGGGTCATGTTGTCACACTGCGTTACAATGAATATGTTTTGAACTATGTTGTAATATATAGCTGTGTGTTCGTTGTCAAACTCAAAAATTAGTTTATTTTTAATTATTTTAAAATGCCATTATTTTATATGAAAAAGTTCATTGTATTTTATTGAGAAAATATTTTTGTTTGTCTTGTATATTTGTTTGATTAGATCAGATAACATTTTAATCTGTCATATGGTCATGTTACCTATGGGACCCACCTATGGGACATGTTGTCACATTGCACTTCCATTCTTTCTGGGTATATCAAGAATAAAAGTAAAATTTTTGGCCTTAAAAACACCTTAAAATGCACGTGTAGATCAAGAAAATCTAAAATTCCTCGGGGGGGGGGGCATGCCCCCCAACCCCCCTAGCAAGATCACTTTTGGGACCTCAGTATGCTATTTAGAAAACCCTGCATATGACCCTGGGTGGAGACTATTTGTGTCAAAATATTTAATTAACCGCTCCCACATTAACTTTAGGCTCAGTCACTGTTATAAATATGAGGGGGTCCTTGGAAATGTTTTTCCCCTGTAAGGGGTCCCTGGCTCCAAAATGTTTGAGAACCCCTGATATAAGGTATAATATCGAAACAGACCACAAAGCAGTCAATAATTCTAGTAATTTGCCTCAATATTCCCTATGAAGGATATATAAACATTTTTATACATATAAACCAACCATTCTGCTAATTTAATATTTGGGAATTCAATTCCATCAAAATATTTTTAGTTCATTTCTCCATTCTAATAATGCCATATCGAACATTTTAAAAATATTTTTCAAAGAAATTAGCAAACAAGGCTTAATGGTGTGGCTTGTCAATATGGTGCACACATTTAATGAAATAAGGATGGTACATATAGACAAAGCACTTGTGACAACAGTGATTCCATAATGCGTCTCCAATTACTGCTTAAAAATGCTGCAGGCATACTCAATAATAACTTGCATGTAAAGGGAAGCCGAGAGACAGCAGGTATTGAATGAACCTTGCGGGAAATAGGGAGGCTGAGAGCACAAAAAATGCCTGCAGAAAGCTGATATACTAGTTTACATGACTATACCATGGATCATTACATTGAGTGAGATACAAATCATTGAAATACAGTCTGTTTGTCTTTAATGCCTGTACATGGCCAGAAAAATTAGACAGCAAATATTGGCCTTAACATATTTCAATGTACATGATTTATTAAAACAGAACAATGTAACATTGTCGCTCTATAAAATAATTTATGGTGCTATATTTGTAAATCTTATAGTAATTTTGGTCACACTTTAGATAAGGGTACAATTCTCACTATTCACCAACTATTAACAATGACCTTTGCCTCAATTAACTCCTAATTACTGCTTATTAATAGTAAGTAAGGTAGTTGTTAAGTTTAGGTATTGGATATAGGGATGTAGAATATGGTCATGCAGAATAAAGCATTAGTATGTCCTTTATAAGTACTAATAAACAGCCAATTCCAAGAAATATGCATGCAAATAAGCAACTTGTGACGCTAAACTAAAGTGTTACCAGAATTTTCTGTTCACTCTTGTCATATGACCATATGAGTAAAATGCAATGTTTATGGACATACTTCTGGTGAAACTCAGAGAATAAGACTGTATATTTTAAACGAATTAGATAATTATATTATGCCCCCAAAATTGATCTCAAACTAATTCGGTAGATAGAAATGACCCTGGTAAGTTATTTAATGCATTTGTAAAAGTGCAAAAGTAACCTTGAAATAAAAATGGTCAATTCTAGCTTTTAATGGAATATTGAATAGTATTATAAATTATTATTATTTTTTTAAAATTGATGTGTGCTTGTAATCTTTAATCAAAACAACTTCCCCTCCCACTTGCAGCGACATCTCTTTTTTTCTCTGATAGTGTGTTTTTCGGCTTGAGGTCGGGATAACCTGTCACTCACACGAGATCGACCAATAGAAAACCACAACCATCCAGCTAATTCCTGATGGACAAAATCCTACATTTTTTTCTTGTTCGAAAAGCCGTTTCACTCAGATATTCGTCACAATAGGGAAGAAAAACAACTTTCCATTTCATGCCGACTTTAATCAGTTGTTTTGATTGGATGTTTTTAATGTGTTGCTATGTGATTGCTTACTGGTTCAAATCAAAAGTGCAAAAATCTCTATTATATTTAAGTACCAACAATGTTTGTCTTTAAACAGGTTTTCCAAACACATCCGCATCTGCTATTGGTCGGTCAAATAGATAATCCTGTCCTCAAACTCACGCCACTGGTTGAGTCAGTGTTGCTATTTTGGGCTTGTCGGAATGCTTAAACAAATACATCAAAGTTTTATAGCGCCAAAGAGACAAATCCATCTGCAAATGCTTTACTTAGCTTGTATCTGCATATTAGAAAGTATTTTAATAGGAAAAAAATCACACAATTTGGCTTTAAAATAGCATAGCAGACAATTTGATTTCTCTCAAAGCACCTTTGCTAGCCCATAACACAGACACCCAGAGCACATCAACTGCAACAGCCGTTACAGAAGCCGTCCAGAAACTGATACAGATCAATGGAGAGAACATGAACACAAGAGCCATGGAGCCAGAGACTTCCCACTGATTTAATTACAGACTTTCCATCACTCAAAGAGCCACCGTTCTGAAGCAACATCAGTAGCATCTACACTTGGATGATGGTCATGCGATATTATCGGCCAGACATGTTGTGAACCGGTGCAGATAATGGAATCATTATGACTGTAGGAGTCTTTCTGAGAGCCTTAAACTTCCTTATTACCATAAACAAGTCTTGGGGGAGGTGTTAAGACTGTACACTTTAAAAAAAAAGGGGGCTCATAAAATGAGGGTAAGGCTTGTATGGCTTTTGTACAGTTTGACAACACAATCAAATGAAAAATTCATGATGTCCATGGTTGCTCTGCTGTGCATCAGATCGATAGCACAGTAATAGCTGGCATATCTGAGACTTGCTTGGCAAGGTTCCCTCTCTTTGATAAACTGTGCCATGTTAATGGGCATACTGAGTTACTGTCCTCTTTGTGCAGGAAGATGATTTTTCACTAGCATACAGATAAAGAGTACAGATTTGTGCACATATGTGATACAGGAGCTTGTTCTCCCAGTTGTCTGATCCTGTTACTTCTTCCAGCTAAACATGCTTCACTTCTGCATTGTGCGGTCTGGTGGGAATCCAAATTTAGTCCAAGTATTTGATAGAAGCAGTAATTCATGGGGCAGGAAGGTAAGAGGGGAATAAATGATGCTGCTTACCAATTGATGATTCAAAATTCACTATAAGAATACATTTTGATAATGATAATTAAAAGTAATTAATGCTGGAAAAAAGTCAATGATTTATTGTAGTTTTCTGGAATGAAACTAATGCATCTCATTGCAGCCTTTTATTCTAACATACTGTTTTGTTTGTTCGTTTTTTAGGTCAAGCCAACGGCAGATAAACTTCTTACCAGTAAGTTTATTTGATTTTTTTTGCTCAAATGGGCCTACAAAACCATCCTTTTCATCCACTTCCCAGCATGCATTGGGGCATGAATAATTATGGTTGTATTGTTTAACAGTTTTTCAGGCTATTTTGTTGTCATCTTGTGTAAGTGTAACACTTACATTGTGGCAATGTTGTCTTTTAGTATTTTTTTAATTCAATTATATTTCATTATATATTGTATTTCATTTTTAATATATTTTTGATTTTCATTTTAATTATAGTTTAAAATAATTTTATGTGCTTTGCTAGTTAGTTTTTGTTTTGTAATATTTGTATTTCAGTTTTAGTCATTTTAGTACTTAAACTTGTTTATTTTAGTTTATTTCAACATTTATAATTCTCATTAGAAGTTTTTATTTATCCCTTAAGACTGAACAAATGAAACATGTAAATAAACAGAACAATTTACATACATCTCCTAAATTCATATTATGTCATATAACATTCACTTAAAATTAAAAAAATACTTTCATAACATTTACTCACACTGTAAAATGACATGCAAAATATTTTTTAAGTTCTACAACAAGAAGGGAAAATAATAGTATAAGAGAAAGGACCGAACGCATAACAGTTCTTCCTTGTTCTTACATTTGTAAGATATGAAGAGCCTCACACATTGATCCGATCAACCTCTTTTAACAGATCGCAAGAGAATTCATCACTCAATTTCTTGCATGCTGTCCCTGTGTAGAGTGAAAAAGAGAGAGACAGATTACAGTGAAAATGAATGAAAACAAGATGCACAGGATGCTCTGCTGAATAATTCATCGCTATACAGTATAGCCTGCCTGTGATATTAAAAAAAAGAGAGTAAAATATTTTAATATTTGAGAATGACATCATCTAATGACTTCACAGCCATAATGAATTATTGAATTTATTTTGTAATCCATTTAGCAGGCCGGAACTGCATGCCTCTGATATTACTCTTGATATTTGATACTTTCTGGGTGGATATGGACCCCTGGCCTGACCACCTTCTGAAATGGGTGTCAAAAATTGCTTTTGCGCCAGGCAAATGTTTGCCGGATGTTCCCAAATTAAAGCAGGGCACATATCAATCAATAAATCAATGAAGTAGAGCTCTCAGTGTCTGTTAGGAAATTTCCCATTTCCTTCCTAACAAGGTTGCTCTCGTAAATAGACGTCCATTATTATTGACTAATTACATTTAGCTCATTGATTCATTGATGGTCAGTCAAAGTTCATGCTAAAAACGAATACATTTAAAAAGATTTTAATGTTGTGGGCTTGTGGCTTATTTAAGAGATGGACACGTTTTTCTTGCAAGTAAAACTGCCTATAATAATATAGCAGGTATAATATATTTATGATAGTTTAAAACTGATATTGATTATACATCCTATAGCCTACTCATTTAAAATTCTCAATGTCATTTCTTCAGGACAGCGTATTCATCGTTGTATATGATAGGTTAACTGTCCATTGACAAAAGTACCTCTTCCGTCCAGTGAAGGGCAAGTATTCCTCTGAGGAATTGATACTTGAGAGGTTTTAAATAGGAGGGATGCACTTCCTCCCTTCAGTTCATGCCGAGCTCTCACTGCACGAACTTCAGGCATGGAAAAATTCATCACTCCTCTGTGAGGACATACGATTTTCCATCCTGCATTTTATTCTGAAGGTAGGATTTGATTTTCTTTTTCATAAAGATACCGGTTGACTAGTTTAAAGTGTGTGCGTCTGTTACTTGTATATAGTTGTTATATGTATATTTATTTGTAAAATAACAGATATCCTGAGTGCAGATGATCTAATGTATTTAATGTTTTTAAATGAATGTGGGAATTATAAAATTATGTAGACCCAAACTACATTATAGTTTTCCAAAATATGTAATTTTTATAAAATATATATAACTGCATAATAATTGCATGCATGTGTGTATATATATATGTGTGTGTGTGTATATATATATATATTTATATATACAGTATATATATATATAAATATTTGATTTTTAATGTAATTTAATTTCCCAAATATTTAATTTTTTAAATTTTAGTTATTAAATGTACAATAGTTTTTAACTAAAAAAATAAATAGATATAAAAATGTCTATTATTTTAAGTATTTTTATGTGAATAGAATCCTGTTTATTTCCTGATAACTCACCACAAAAAAGTTATTTGGGACTGTAATTGGATATGAATAGTCTGTGTCTGTACATCAATATACAGTGCATTCATTAATTTTGTAATATGTTATGCCTTTCAGTATGAAAACCTTAAATTAGATTATTAGCCTTGTAGTAGTAGCAGTAGTAGTATTATTCCTCATATTTTTCGTTGCCAATCGTAATTGATTTTCCAATTCTGTGCAGCACTTTTCTGAAAAGGGCCTGCAACGATGTCAGAGAGGAAGCCCAAAAACTCGGACACACGTCCCAAGAACCTGCGGAGCTGGAGTGCTGATAGTTACATCCGCAGTATTAAAAAACGCTCCCGAGGGTCACGCCATGAGACAGCGCCCAGAGGGGAAGATGGGGAAGGAACAGACGACCAGGGCGTACGCTCTGCCTCTTGTCCTCGGAGACGTCGAGAGCGAAAGTGCAGCTGCACGATCCCTGGAGAGCCAGATTCAGACTCTCCTTGCAGGAAAGGTCTGTCCCGTCGTTCCCTGAGGCAGAAGTTTCAGGATGCCGTTGGCCAGTGCCTTCCTCTTCGCAACCACCACCACCACCACCACCACCATCATCACCAGTCCGGGGCCTCACGCCCGTTCTCTGTCCTCCTTTGGTCTAAACGGAAGATTCATGTGTCCGAGCTCATGGAGGACAAGTGTCCGTTCTCTCCGAAATCTGAACTGGCTCAGTGTTGGCATCTGATCAAGAGCCACGGCGCTCACACCAAACCCGCTTTAAGCATCGAAACCGAACCCAAAGGTCCCTTGTTGTCCTCCTCACCTCCAGCGCTCATTTCCTGGGAGGAGATCAACTCATCCGGGGCTTCTAGTCTGGATGACTGGGATCCGTCTTTTGCACATGGAGACGCCCAGTGCTGCGCCCACACTGACTACATCCTGGTTCCAGATCTGCTTCAGATCAACAACAGCCCCTGTTATTGGGGGGTCCTGGATCGTTTCGAAGCTGAGCAGCTTTTGGAAGGACAACCAGAAGGAACCTTTCTGCTACGAGACTCTGCCCAGGACGAATACCTCTTCTCGGTTAGCTTCAGGCGCTATAGCCGCTCCCTCCACGCTCGGATAGAGCAAAACGGGAAGCGCTTTAGCTTTGATGGCCGTGACCCTTGCATGTACAGAGATTCCAGCGTCACGGGCCTACTAAAGCACTACAGTGACCCAGCCAGCTGCCTGTTTTTTGAGCCTCTTCTCTCTCGCCCTCTTCCTAGGAACTTTCCGTTCTCTCTGCAGCACATGTGCAGGGCGGTCATCTGTAGCTGTACAACGTATCAGGGCATTGATGCTTTGCCATTACCCTACACTTTGAGACACTTCCTTAGGCAATACCACTATCGGTGCAATGGAGCTTGTGCTGTTTAAAAACTGTGACAGAAATGGGACGAAACTACATGTTGCTTGATTTGACGGATTGAAAGGCACAGTAAATGTATTCAACACAGCATGGTGGACGTAGTTACCATGCAGCACAAAAAAAACAGTTCATGTTTTCTAGTTCACTAATGTAATATTGTTCAAACCAAAGATATGCAGGACATTGGTTCACATATTAAGTATTTTTTGCAGGTTTTCTACTAGGCTATATGAATTTCATTTCTTTCTTGTTCTTGTTTATCATCTGTTATCATCATTTACTTTTTGTATGCAGTTTTGTACCCTAGATCTTCATGATAAAACAGGAAATTAATAACTTTTGTTTCATTTATTGGAAGTTTTTCCTATTGTAGTACTTACCAGATTCCACTAGATGGCAGACTTGTAGAACTGATTTGAAATGACCACTACTATCTATTCATCTTGTATTTCAGAACTAAACAGTGCCTAAACCATATCTGTTTGAGTTGCAAAACCATGTCAGTATATTATTTGATAAATCTGTCCCGTATAACCACACAGTCTTGAAGCAATTCAACCACATATTGTAGCTACACATTTTCAATAAAACAAGCAATAGAATCAACAAATAAATGAAGACTGTTTTGTTTCGCTGTGCTATGGTTTACATCAAATCTCCTTTATGTTTTATCATACAAGATTTCACTGGGTGACTATATGTGAAGTTAACTGCTATTTATGAATCTGGGTGCATTGATGTACAGGGACCAGTAAACTGAGGGGCTTATATTGCTTAAAAGATCAATAATATTCTCACTTTTTACAAAATGTGATATGATTCTCTCTTAGAAAACTGATTCACTCATGATCTGCCAAACTCATTCATGTTAAATATTTATGTTCATATATTATCACATATTAGCTCATATACCATTGTTAAATATTAGAAAAACCTCTATATAGACAAACAAGAAATGTTGCATTCGTAATTAGGAAAATATTACAGACACACATTTTTCTACCTTTAACTTCCTTGTAGGAGCTATTTGCTGATCACCATTTAGGTGATTTCAGATTTTAAAATTCTCAAAGGTCCTTCTGGGTACAATAGGTCTCTGAAATGTAGGCAAATCCGGACACACATGCACAAACAAAAAAGACAGGAACTAAATCATGCAGAAATGACATGCCCTATTGTGATCATTAATCCATCATATTATTTGGTATTGCATTTCATTCTACAAGCAGATACAAGAGCTGCTTACTGGAGTATCAAATTATTCAACAAACAGACAATGGGGATAATTTGTCTATTCTCTTGAAGAGGACTAAACGTTCAACCCTAGGCTGTATTACAATATTGATGATGCTTAAGCCTTATACCAGACAGTTTTGCTGCAGGCAAATCCAGTTGCTGTTTGCCTTTTTTTTTTTTTTTTTAAAGAACAATGACATTGTTTTTACATGCAGCTCAAGCATTTTAAAATAATAGTAACTATGAGAAATGATCGACTGATTCATTTTTAACAATAAATAATTATTTTTTAAATACTTTTAATGTAGAACTAAAATACCTGGAACGTCACTATACGTCACACTTTGGGTTGGGTCAGTACTCTGATTCAGCCAATGACATTTGGTAAAAGTTAACGGTCCGTCCCACTTTTACACGTCACTGGTGTCAGCGCGGGAGATGTGAGCGAGTGTGGCGCTGAATACTGAGAATTACCGCCAAACTAAAGCTGTAAGTACTACGTGTTGTTTAAAACATTTATGCTGTATATATCGATGTATTGTTATTCGATTATAATCATTTACTTTGACACGTGCATTCTTTCAGGATATTTAGTTTTTTATTCCGCGGTTGTTGATCATTTTGCACATTTGCACTTCTTTGTTTCCCAAAGATTATTTTCTTTTGTCTAAACTTGAGATAAAAATGAACTTACTTTTAGTAAAGGCTGATTATGTTTGCATCACAAGACATCTGCTGTCTTTTCAAATGACATTGTTTCAATTTCTGGTTTGTATATGTGATCATGGTCATTCTGTTCCTTGAGAGATCAAGTAGGGAAGTTAAATTAATAAAAACAATATCATTTATCACAAGTCCCAGTAGTTACAGATAATATATATATTTAAAATATTTGATTATAGAAGTAAATTAGAATGCTGTTAGTATTAGTATTATATAATTAGAATGCTGTTAGTATTAGTATTATATATTTTTACATTATTATTATATCTGTTATATAAGCAAATTGTGTATCAATGTGTGCAAGTTACATTAGACTATACGACTCGATACAGAGTAATATTGTATTGCATTTGCAATAGCACTGAGGATAAATTAATTTATCGAATTAGTTCTCAAATTAAATGATGCTTTATTCCTGTATTTGAAATGCTTAATTTTAAATATAAAATGAAGAATATGATATATATAAGTTATATGCAATACTAATATATATTATTTCACATATCTCCAGCAGACATTGTCTGTCCATCATGCCGTGTGAAAGGAAGCCCATGCGTTACGGTCACTCAGAAGGCCACACTGATGTCTGCTTTGATGATGAAGGAAAGTAAGTAACATCTTTTGTAATCACTCAAAACTTATACATTTGATTTCAGACTTAATGGGCAATTTTAAGATGCCTGTAATACACTTTATGATCTTTCCCAGGTGTATCGTGACTTGTGGGAGTGATGGTGATGTCCGCATATGGGAAAGTCTAGATGACGATGATCCCAAGTCTATAAATGTCGGGGAGAAGGTCTATTCTGTAGCCTTGAAGGTAAGTTAACATTTGTTTTGGTGTGTTCTTTCACGGTTTATAAAAGCATAATTGCATTATTAATGCTACAGAGACTTCTCGTAAAACACCTGAAAGCGGTCTATTAAATTTGAATCCTGTTCATTTTACTGCTATTTAAATGTCAGTGTTTATTTTTCCCTACAGAATGGAAAGCTAGTTACAGCAGTTTCCAACAACACGGTTCAGATTCACACTTTCCCAGAGGGAGATCCAGATGGCATACTCACTCGATTCACCACCAACGCAAACCACGTCACCTTCAACGCCAGCGGGTCAAGAGTGGCTGCCGGCTCAAGGTATGAGTTGCTTTCATTCCTTTACATGTTCTTAAAGGGATAATTCACCCAAAAACTGTAATTGTCATGTCATCAATTACTCACCCTCATGTTTTTAAAGCCATAAGACTTTCGTTAATCTTCGGAACACAAATGAAGAACTTTTTAATGAAATCTGAGAGATTTCTGTCCCTCCGTTGAAAGTCTATTTATCCAAAACTTAGACAGTTTAAAATGTTCATAAAGAGATTGTAAAAGAAATCCATATGAACAGCTCAACAGTACTTGCTTGACAGTCTAGAAAAAACCTTGGTTCTTGTGCAGCAAGCAAGTATGTTTGAGCTTCTGTTTACCAAAATTAAATCTGTTCATCATGTAAAGTGATCGTGTCTCTTCAGAAGGCTTGGATTAAACTGCTCGATTTATAAGGATTTACTTTCTTCGAAAGTCCTACGGGTTTGGAGGTTGAGTAAATGATGACCGTATTTAAATTTTTGGGTGAACTATCCCTTTAAGCATATTTCTATGTTTCGTTTTATATACTTTCAGTAGCAGTCGTGTGTATTAGTTAAAATTGGTGACATAAAAATCTCATGGGTCATTTAATATTTGAGTTCTCCCATCTCCGTGCTTTTGTGGAGAGGAAACCACTTCGATTGTTCATATGATTAGTTACAAATGGCTGTTTGCCGGACATATGGATTGTTTTAAGTGGCTGCATCACGGATGAAGGCAGCGAGCATGTCACAGCATTGATTGAGCGGTTTTATCCCTCTGCCGATGCTTGAATATTGATGCACTGGCAGCTGAGCTCCAAACAGGTTATTTGATTTTTTTTCTTCTTCCTATAGAGGTCGGAAATGAGTTTTCATTTATTTCCCCACTTCAGATCAAAAGATCTACTGTGCCAATATGAGTCTCTGTTGAGCTGAAAATGGTGGAGGATAAAGGGGCTAATTTTGGCGTTCTGTTTTCCAGCGACTTCCTGGTGAAGATAGTGGAGGTGGCGGACAGCAGTCAGCAGAAGACCCTACGTGGGCATGACGCTCCCGTCCTCAGTGTGGCTCTTGATCCTTCTGATGAGTTCCTTGTGAGTGTCATGGTGCCTTTTTTAATGGTCAATGGCTAAATTAAGAATTGCTTGTGAATCAGTTATCACTGTCATGTTTGTCGCATACATACATAACTGTTCAAAAGTTTGGGGTCAGTAAGATTTAGATTTTTTTTTTTAAGTAAGAAATTAACACTTTTTATTCAGCAAGAACACATTAAATTGATAAAAAATAGTAAGGACATTAATAATATGACTAAATATTTGTATTTCAAATAAATGCTGTTCTTTTGACCTTTCTATTTAAAGAATACTGGAAAAAAGTCATGGTTTCCACAAAATATGAAGCAGTACAACTGTTTTCAACATTGATAATAATAAAAAAAAATGTTTCTTGAGCAGCAAATCAGCATATTAAAATAATTTCTGAAGGATCATGTGACACTCAAGACTGGAGTAATGATGCCTAAAATTCAGCTTTGCCATCACAAGAATAAATTACATTTTCAAATATCTAAAAATAGAAACAGTTATTGTAAATCGTAATAATATTACATAGTAATTCTGTTTTTACTGTATTCTTTATTAAATAAATACTGCTTTAGTGAACATAAGAGACACTTTCAAAAGCATTACAAATCTTAACAATCCCAGGCTTGTGAACTGTCCTGTATATGTTGTTTGTGAAATTTAACATATTCTGATGAGTATTTGTGCATTTAAAAATAAGTGTTGGGCCATTATTGGTAATTTGGTTGTGCTGATGTCACTTACTGACAGGCTTCCTCCAGCTGTGATGGATCAGTCACTGTGTGGTCTATTGAGTCACAGGTGAGGCCTTACCAGCTCTTCATACAACGAAATACGTGTACAATGGTGTCCAAAAGTCATAGAGCACTAATGAAAACGCTT